TATTCAGGACGTAAGGCGAGAGTACACTTCCAACACGTAACTGGAATAACTTGTAATGAAGATGCTGTGAATACGAAATGGGGCCTCGCGTGTGTAACTAGCCGCGGCAAATTTTAAGTGCTGTGTGGGGTATTCTGCCGGAGGCATAGGAGAATTACCTGCCAACAAGTAGTTACGTTTCCCCGATTGTGTAATGGCAGAGCGGAATAGTTGGCGAGACTTGAATGGATGCGGATAAGGCCATACTGATTTAGTTAGTGTAGGTTATTGGAGAAAATAGTGATTCAGTGAGATAATTTCGTGAACATCCCTACAGGCCTAGAGGAACCGTAAGTTAGGCTAACATAGTGTTACGTGGATGGGCCATGGTAACTTTTTGGTAGTTCCGATAGACGCTTTCTGTTTCCAACACCGCTAGAAGAGCTCTAGAATCGAGCAATGAGGGGAACAATAAATCGTAAGGGGGGAAAGTTCGAGGGCTTATTGTTTGAGGGCAAGCTGATGACAGCGGTTATTTCGTTTGATTCACAAATACCATACATGGGTAGGCCGGAGGTACTCCGTGACGCTGGCGGCTAACATTGACGAGATGGACAAAATTACAAGGGCTCTTATTTTCTTAAGAATGACATCTGATGAGGAAAAATACGGTAGTTGAGGGTTGAAAGCGGGGGGCAGAAATATGAGGATGGTCTTAGGATGTGTCTTCCCGCCTGTTATTCAATAAAACACTTCAAACTGCAGAAAATTTGGAACTGAAATAACGGATCTGGGGAGGCAGTAGAACTGTCATGATGGGACCGGCTAATTTGAACTAAGACCTGAAACGATCACTATGGCTTCTTGGCCTTGGGCTGTTGGACGTACAACCAAGGTCACAAAAAAGCGTAAGTGGGGATGGAGAAGTGGGGGGATATGAAGTACGAATAAATGGTAGAAGGAGCGTCAGAAGCAAAGTACGGCGAAGCTGGAGAGCTTCACTACTGTTGCTCTGGAGCGGAGGCTGGTGTATGAGTTCCTTGGGAGAAGAAGTTCATGCAGGCGCACAAGAAGGAACTCGAACTTCACGGAAAATGACTGACTTGGTGAGGATTACAAAGCAAAAGACACTGAGGCATTTAGATTCAATGGAAGTTCCAGTTCCCGGATGCGGCTGGGGCTAAATGCAAATGCAGCTAAGGGAGCGAGAGGGCGCAGTCGAAGTAGGAAGCAGACTGTTGCGAGTGTGATATAAAACTATGTATGGCAGTGCCGTGCCATCACTTCACTGAGACACTTCAGTTCCCGGCCAGCTCCTCGGCGGACGTCGTGATTGAGGTGGTTGGGCTGGGATATGCAGTTCTGCGGGCAGCGAGATGGTGTGAGTTTTCCAGATGATTCCGCAGAGAGAGCAAAACCGACGTAATATCGCAGGGAGTGTTTGTTCCGATCGGAGATCTCTTCGGGTGTAGTTTACAAATCGGGTGGAGTGTAAAACGACCATATAGGATGTCCATTGCACGTATTACCGTAGGTCGAATCTTGGGACGATAAAGCGGGATAAGATGAGACATGATATTGTCCTTTAGTAGGGAAAACCTTAAAGTAACGCCGGTGACATGTGATTAAATGAGACAAGATAAGGATGGATATTCACTCAGTAGTCTAGTCACCAAAGTTGAGCTAATGATGCCAGTGTATTATTATACTATGTATGTAATATTGCATTATTGTATTATTATTGTTCTTATTACACTACCTGAAATGGAGGACAGTTCGATGCAAGTAGCCAGAGAGGAAGCGTGGTAAGACAAATCCAACGCATAGGGTGGATGTTTTGCTTGGTTGACGAGGCGGGTTTCGGTGCGGTGTAGCGTCCGTCATGACTTGAGCAGCTACAGTTATGCACATCATTGTAGGCCACGGGCATCGCGGAGTATCTTCAGGCTACCCCAGGTGTGTTTTTTACAGACGAAAGGCCAGTTTATTCAACCGTACCGTACGGCGGTTCCAGTTAAATAAATTGACCCAGCGATGCAGACGGCTTAAGAAGTACAGAGACTGTCGCAGTTGTTGGTGAAAAGCAGTCCGGCTGGACTCTAGAAAACTTACCCGTCAAAAGCACCGATTGCAGGGGGTTGAATGAGGCTAGGTTACTCTCATCCGGCTGACAGTCAGAAAGGCAGATGATACGAGTGGAATATTTGTGTCGTTTGCTTAGGTCTGAGGTAACTCAGAGCCCAGAATGTGCGGCGGGATATGAATGGTTTGAGCCAGATGGGAAAAAGGATCCCATGAAGAGGCTGATGCACTCTGTACGACCTCAGGGGAGTCATATTTGTCGCGCTCCTATCCGCAGGGGATCAGTGCGTATGAACCGTAGTTTACGGCGGTTCCAGTTAAATAAATTGACCCAGCGATGCAGACGGCTTAAGAAGTACAGAGACTGTCGCAGTTGTTGGTGAAAAGCAGTCCGGCTGGACTCTAGAAAACTTACCCGTCAAAAGCACCGATTGCAGGGGGTTGAATGAGGCTAGGTTACTCTCATCCGGCTGACAGTCAGAAAGGCAGATGATACGAGTGGAATATTTGTGTCGTTTGCTTAGGTCTGAGGTAACTCAGAGCCCAGAATGTGCGGCGGGATATGAATGGTTTGAGCCAGATGGGAAAAAGGATCCCATGAAGAGGCTGATGCACTCTGTACGACCTCAGGGGAGTCATATTTGTCGCGCTCCTATCCGCAGGGGATCAGTGCGTATGCCATGATTTCCAAGAGAAGCTTCGGTAAGAAATCTGAGATGTTGGAGAAGTTAGATACGAATTATGTGAGTTCTGCAAACGTTTGAGGCCAGCTGTTGGCTGAATAGTTGATGAGAGTGGGAGTTGCGGGGTGAAATAAACAAGGGTGGCATACTGTGAGTAGTGTGAGGCAAGATAAACATGTAAAATGCACGCTACCTGGGGCATTCGTGTTAGAAGTGTCACCATGAATGCTACCGGGATACATGGCCAAATTCGAACCGCTGAAGCAGCCTTGCAAGAATGGACGAAATTGTTGATCGGGTTTGGAGTGCGTTTTAACCCAGGGCTGTTAGGGAAACTGGGCCCTCCTTGCACTATTCTGGACCACGGAATATGAATTGAAAACGCTTTAAAGACTGTATACTGGCGGGAAACTGCAGGGAAATTGTTTGCGATGACTGAGATTACCGTGGGAACTCACGCTGGTCAGTTTGTCACATCATATGTGAGAATCCGACCATGTGAAACTGGGAATACAGGTGATAAATTGTAGTCGTCAAGGTTGCTGGTGGTTGAAACATAAGTTTTCTATGGATTTGGTCGCTCCTAGCTACATCTTTGGTAGGGACGCAAATAGCATCACCCTGGGGCTATTTCCAGACTGAAAGACCCACTTGGGAGATAGGGTCCATTATGTTGGAGTTTCGCGCGTGTTCTGGATAAATGAAAACGTGAGCATAGTTTTTGGTGTAGTGGAAACGGGTCAGTAACTGTGTCATGGAATATAGCAGGTAGCCGTTATATGTGAAATATTTTACGGTGTTCCAACCATGACAAGTTTATGTGCAGGAGTTACTCAAGAAGGTGGGAGTTTTCGGACGCTCTAGTGTTCTTCGTGGCCCCACTGAGTACATTTTCGGGCATATTTGCGTCATTTTCCGGGCAAAAGAGCGACAAATGCATTCGTCATTCTGTCATGGAGCGGAAAAACTTGGGATAAAGCACGATGAACTTTGAAGGATTTGTCTTCGGAAGTTCCCCTTCAAAGCACCAGAGACCTCTCAGGGAAAGAGAGGAACAAGAACCATGCAAAGGTGCAAGTTTTAAAGCTAGATTACTGTGGATGAAGGGACGATTTAATTTTTTGAGTGAAAAAGTAGTGGGATCTGCTTTGAAGGGCAAAATAATGATTTTCTTTTAGTTTATGTACGGGGCGTTCGTTTTGTCTAGAAGACATATAAGCTGGGTGCCCGCAAAACGAGGGAAGATCGTATATTTTGGCCACCAGCGTTGAGTTGCGCGGTTATTTGATATAAAATATAAAAGGTATCAGATGAAGTCTAGATCCACGAGGAATTCCAAATGATGTGCATAACTGGAAAAAGCGAATCACCAATGCGTTAGAGATAGGGCCAGAAATCGTTTGTGTAATAGAAATATCATTCCCCAGTGTTCTCACCAATAGAATACTGGCTCATCGAGAATTTCCTGCAGTCGCGGGAAGAATTGTATAATTACTCGGTAGAAAAGATGGTCCTACCAGCCACAGCACGGTTTGTTAGAGAAAGCAAAAAGTTTGTTGGGCTGGGTAAGGAAGTCTATAGTGAGGGTGCAGCCAAACAAAATATTCTCTCTCCAGGCATGGAAAGTTTGTGGGGCCATGCAGACAGTGGTTTGTGTGGCCGTAGCGATCAGCGTCCTCGTTGCTCTCTGGGTGAGTACACCTTTATCTGGATGCCGAAAGCACTCCATTTGAAAGAAAAAACACGACCTGAAACACAATGCCGACATGTCGACATTACATAGGGGCATTCTGTTGAGTGGTACTAGGTGCAAGGGCAAGGCTACGTCTTCCAAGTAGAGGAGTTTGGCTGTTAATTTGAATAGGCATGCCTTAAACTAAAGGTCGGAGGGGTTCGAGCAAATTCGTTGGGAAGTATGCGGCTTGGTTACGCAGCCGTTAAGAGTAGCAAGTTAAGACGTGAGTGAGGAAGCTGTCTGAGTTTCGGAAAGATAGCAGAATGGTCTGGCTTACCGAAGAGGCGGACAGTCCCCGGAAAGCCCGTACGTGGGACTGTGGCTAGTTTCCCTTTTCTCTAGGGGGTAATTGTGGGGACACTTTATTGCAGAAAGAGGATGAACAGCGTGCTTTAATGTGAAACCTTCCATTTTTTTGGAGGTGAGAGGTAACATCTCGTCCTTCAACGTGTTTAAGGAGGTTGGCCAGTGGGTCTACCAATTAATCGGTCGCAAGTTGTTCCCTGTAACAATGTAGTTACCGCGGCGATATACGAAGCGTGAGACTATGGTTGTAGCAATGAAACGGCAATAGAACGGAAGATTCACGGATTCACGGATTGATACACATTCTAGTGGGGCCCGCTGGACACGCTCACTGAGGGTCACGTCTTTCGTACATCCTGAGTAGACAACTTGGTTGGCGTACTCCAGGAGCGGTCTGACGTAGGCCCCATAGAGTATTTGGAAGTTCATGCGAGTAATACGGGAGAAGGTGCGTCGGATCATCCGTAGAGTGGCGAATGCCTTTTGGGCCGATCTCTCATGGTGCAGTGAGAAGGACAAGTTTGAGGAGACTCAGATGCCCAAATCCTTTTTGGCATCTGTCCTCATGATGTTTTCTGGTTCTTTCTCACCATGCATAACAAAGGCATTCGCTGAGTCTCCTCCAAACGACATGTGGATGCACTTTTTGTCATTCAGAGGAAGGTGCCAGTCCAAAGACCACTGCTTGGCAGCGTCTACATCCATTTTGAGGGCACTGGCATTGGAACTCCAGGATTTCAAGTCGTCCGCAAAAAGTAGACATGGACTCGCAAGAACATCTGGGAGGTCGTTGACGTAGATCAG